TAATTATTTCATGTTAAGCATCTGATACCACATTCTGGTTATATATATATATATATATATATGTGTGTGTGTGTGTGTGTGTGTGTATTTATGGCTTATAGAAGAATATAAGTATCTTGTTAACATGATATAATGAATAAAAGCTGTTAAATGTGCAGCCTTGCACTAAGAAAAAAAAAAGTGCAGCCTTGTACCTGACTATATATTATGGATAATATTGATCCTGTCATTTTTCACACATATTCACTCAACATCTCACTGTTATAAAAATCACTTGTTTTGCCTAGACAGTGTGGCTCAGTGGTTGAGCATCAGCCTTTGAACCAGGAGGTCACAGTTCAATTCCCTGTCATGGCACATGCACAGGGTGTGGGTTTGATTCCCATTAGGGGGCGTGCAGGGGGTGGCCAATCAATGATTCTCTCTCATCACTGATGTTTCTGACTCTCTCTCACTCTCCCTTCCTCTTTGAAATCAGTAAAAATATTTTTAAATCATGTTTTGACATTCACATTAATATATTTTCCCTTTACTCTTTGTCACATGCCTGTTACATTACATAAAAGTAAACAAACAAAACAAAACAAAACAAAAGCCCTCCAGTTTCTAAATTCTCGTTTTCAAGTAATTTCCCTATAAGTTTGGCTTAGTAAATAAAAAAAATTCTTAAAAGTAGCCAAAGCTGGTTTGGCTCAATGGTAGAGCATCGGTCTGCGGACTGAAAGGTCCCAGGTTCAATTCCGGTCAAGGGCATGTACATTGGTTGCGGGCACATCCCCGGTAGGGAGTGTGCAAGAGGCAGCTGGTCGATGTTTCTCTCTCATTGATGTTTCTAGCTCTCTATCTCTCTCTCCCTTCCTCTCTATAAAAAATCAATAAAATATATATTTTTTTAAAATTCTTAAAAGTAGAATGTGTTGTTAGAAAATGAAAACTATCCTCAGTGGTAGTATACATTTTTTTGCTCTGCATCTGGGGAAGTGTTTAAAGTACTCTGGTGGGGCCAAAACCATTTTGGCTTGGGGGGTAGAGCATCTGCCTGTGGACTCAAGGATCCCAGGTCCAATTCCAGTCAAGGGCATGTACATTGGTTGCTGGCACATCCCTAGTAGGGGGTGTGCAGGAGGCGACTGATCAATGTTTCTAACTCTGTATCCCTCTCGCTTCCTCTCTGTAAAAAAATCAATAAAAATATATTTTTTTAAAAAGTACTCTGGCAGGGGAACCTCCCCCCATCCCCAAATGGTCATTCCGTAACTGAATTTAGGATGGATTAGCAGCTCTTTGAGGCAAGATCTTGCTTCCTCATACTGCTCAGTATCAGCCACTGCTAAGAACTGGCGATGGTCCTGAATGCTGAGTTTGCAACTTGAGTAACTCCCAACCTTGTTCCCTTTTCAGAGCACCAGCATCATAGCTCTGCACTCACAGGGCCACCCATCTGAGCAGACTTGGCAGGCTCCCAGACACGTCAAAGAGCATATCTGCACAGTGCCCAGAAAGGAGATGGGAAAACCTGGAAGACACGTACTTCTCTGTCTGGATTGTTCCTGAAAGCAATGTAATATTCTTATGTCGTCAGTCTTTACCTCAGGCATGGCCCATAAGTACAGGACCATGTCCAACAGTAGTGTGACTATTAGCTCCTAGTTTTGAAGTTTCCACTCCACTGAGGTTAATAATGAGCTAGAGGGGAGAGCAAGAGGAAGAGGGCAGGTGTTCGTAATAGTGCCATTAATTGTATAGAAGAGCAACATCATTGTCAGGCCCAAAAAACTAAGTACTTTTTTTAGTTTATTGTTCAGAATCAGGAAAAGAATCATTCTTGATGTTGTATTGCCACAAGAAAATCTCTTGCCTCATCACCTTAGTGTATCATTTCATATGGGATTTTATAGTCTGCCTGACTTTAATTAATGATGTTACTATATTAAAATGCCTAGATAACTAAATACACAAGTTAATCATTTGACTTTCAATGAGGGCTAAACAGTCTCTAAAAAGCAAATGGTACATTAAGTCTCATCTTTCATAGCTAGCACATTACACTTGGGATTAACCTTGGAATAGTTAAAAGTATGAAAAGTCTCCTTAACATTATAAAGGAATAGTCTAAATGCTGGAAACTAAACTTTGAAAGTAACTTATAATATATTATGTTAAATTTCTTGTTAGTGTCACGAGATGTAAAAACAAAACCACATTAGCCCTATCTGATTTCGCTCAATGGATAGAGCACTAGCCTGCAGACTGAAGGGTCCCGGGTTTGATTCCTGCCAAGGGCACATGCCCAGGTTGCAGGCTCCATCCCCAGAAGGAGGCATGCAGGATACAACTGATAATTGATTCTCTCTCATCATTGATGTTTCAATCTCTCCTTCTCCCTTCCTCTCTCTGAAATCAATAAAAAATAATAAAAGAAGATACATTATCTAATATATTTAAAAAAGTAAAACCACATTAAATGACGTTCCTCATAAATATTCTCTGTAAACCATTCCTCAAAAAAAAAAAGTGAATATAATTGACTGATTCTTAACTGCCCCATTGTCATTATCCATTCTTTTTAATTAATATATTTCATTAATAAAGTTATGACTTTTTGTAGTTTATCTAGAAATAAAATATCAAATAAATTTCAAGTAAAGGATTTAAAAATAAGCCTATAACTTAAGGATCTGTACCACTCCAGAAATGAAGTTAATGTCCTTGTATCATCTTTAGTACAAAGTCTACCATCACATTTTGCATTGACATATAGAAAAAAAGGAAGCATATTTATATAAAGTTTCGGGGGAGGGGGGGAAGACATTATACTTCACTATCCCAGAACAAATTATTTTTATGTACTCTATTCCAGGAAGAGAAATGAAAAAATATTGTAATAGTTGCAGTTTGCATTAACTCTAAAGCTGGTAATTCTTTTCCAAAGACAGCTCGCTTTCTTTTTAAAAGAAATTTTTAGAAAACTCCTTTGGTTTAGAGTAAAAAAAAAAAAAATCTTATAAAAATAAAATATTTAGAAATATGTTGCTGAGAAATCACTTGTAAATGACTGTCAGACCTTTGAAAAACAATCTAATTTGAATCACCAGTCTAAATAGGTCATTTAACTTAGAAAAAATTAAAATGAGTTGCACAGGGTCACCTCTTTTCCTAAAACACCTGCATCCTCAATGTCCTATTGTCTTCAAAGTCAAACAAGAATTAAGTGTCAAGAACAACTATAATACCTTAACGTATTCCAAATCCCAACATTAGTCTGCATGTGAAATGGCCATAAAAGTTTACATTATATATGAAAACAGTGGGTGTATGGGGGTGGGGGGTGCTTCAAGAAGTTTGGAATGGAGGGACAGAAGGCAAAGCAGAGAGCTCTCACCGTTCAGGAGGATAATGGTATGTGTGTGGGGGCCTCTACTGGCGTTCTTCTCTTGCCTTTCACGTGGGCACATTCCCAGTTCATGCAGCTCACACAAACTTAACACAAAGCAAGCACTTCCATACTGGTTTAGTCTCCCACAAGCGTCTCTTATATCCAACTATCAATATAAGATCACGAACCTTCTCTCTCCTGTCCAGCACCTGTAAAGACTAAATCATCCTAGGACATTCTGGTAAACTCAGGGTTCACATCCCTACTCTCCAGAAAACCATCCAGAGCATAGACATAACTGCAAAATCTTGAAGGTAGTAGTATCTTTGAAGTGAGAACGCCATCAGATAAAACAAAATACACATGAGAGAAAAAAAATTGGCTGCCTAAGATATCCTTTGTTCTTCCATGCCAGACCATCCATAAAACCAAAAGGACCCCCCCTCCCCCGACAATGCTGGGGAAATAGGGTGTCAGGTGTCTGAGGATGGAGTCTGCCTACAGAAGGCAGGGCAGCCCAGGGGGCTGGCAGAGAGGGAATCAGCTCCATGGCAGGTGGAGAAAGGAGTCAGTTTTGTTTCATGCCTCTCCAGAGCCACCAAGAAACACACCACATCCTTTCTGTGTTAAAAGTAACTTTGATGCTCAGAGAGAGAGAAAAAAATACTTTCATATGCTCCAGATAACAACAATCTATCATCAAGAGGCAAATAAACAGGTTTTCCTCTCTGCCCATCTTCCTAAAGCCACGTCCCTCAAAAATGAGACCTTGATTCTCTCAAGACCTCACTCCGTTTATTTATTTAAGTGTGTTTATTTATTTATTTTCTATGTACATATTTTACCATTGCCCCTCCCCTCCCAGACATACCCTCCCTCCCCAGAGTTTTGTGCCCATTGGTTGTACTTAAATGCATGTATACAAGTCCTTTGGTTGATCTATTAAAGATGGAATGGAAGCACCTGTGCTCTGGCAAGGACGCACACCGAAGACTTGACCTCGGGGAATTAATTGCTAAGGAACAGTGCTAAGCTCTTTTTCTTAAAAGGGTCAAACCCCAAAACAATGAGGATGTCTTCAGTTCCAGATGCATGATTAAAAAAAAAAATTTTTTTTTTTACAACTGTCTGAACCAGAGAGAGAAACAATTCCACTCCAGCCACTACCCTAACACACACATGGAAACAACGACAGAAACCGTCCCGGAGAGGGACAGAGCAGGCTGCCTCCTTCCCGGACAACCTCTCCAGAATCCGCTCATTGCCCCGCCGCGCCAGCCCCTCGGGGTGCTTCGGTTCGAGGCGCCCTGAACTCAGCTTCTCCCCATCCTTAGTTCTGAGCGGGCTCGGCCCTCCCGGGGGTCCTCCTGGGCGGCGTCCCCGCACTCGGGAGGTTCTCAAACGCCCCAAGACCAGACTGCTCCTGCCGGGTCTCGGGAAACCCCGGGGTTCCCGGCCTCCCAAGGGTTCCAGCGACCCCGTACCCACCCATGCCTGAGCGGATGAAGTTGCTCAGCACCCGCGCAGCCCGGGTCCCTCCCACTCCCGCCCCTCGGGCTCCGGCTCGGGCGCCTGCACGGGGGTCCCCCGCCCCCCGCCTCCGCGGAGGTGAGCGCGCACTCACCGGAGGTGAGCTGCATCCAGGCGCAGATCTTGTACACCGTGGCCGTGTTGCAGAAGAAGAAGAGGGTGAAGCACAGGATGCAGGCGATGATGAGCATCATGGAGAGGCCGATGAAGAAGGAGGCGGCTTTGAAGGCGCCGGAGGGCAGCGTGGAGAAGTCCGTGAAGCTGCCCCTGCAGGTCAGCTCCCGGGAGAAGCCGTTGCCGACGCAGTAGTGGAAGAGCCCGAAATAGCCGGCTTGCGGGGTGTCCACGCCGTCGCCGATCCAGTAGGGCTGGATGAAGCACACCACGTTGACGATGGCAAAGCAGATGGTGAAGATGGCCCACAGCACGCCGATGGCCCGCGAGTTCCGCACATAGTTGGTGTGGTACAGCTTCGCAGCCTCCTGGGCCGGCAGCATCGCGGCGGCGGCGGCGGCGGCGGCGCCGGGCATCCTCCCCTCCGCCGCCTCCTCCTCCGGCTCCTCCGGCTCCGGTCCTCCCTCCGCCTCCCCCGCCTCCCCGCGCGCAGGAGGCACCCTCAGCGAGCAACTCCCGTGCCTCCTCCTCCGCCTCAGCCCAGCAGCGCCAGTTTCAGAGTCCGCATCCCCGCTCCCGGAAGGAGGGCGGGGGAGCGCCGAGCACCCCTCCGGCTCCCCTGGCACAGCCCCGTGGCCCCCCCTCCACCTTCCTCCCTCCCGGCCGGGGCGCCAGCCCTTCGCGCCACCCTCCGCCCCTCTTCCCTCCGCGGCTGCAGCTGCTGCAGCTGACGGCGAGGAGCCCCGCGCGGGAGGGGGCCCGCCCGCCCCCCGCCCGCTCCGCGCCGCCCGCCCGCCCCTCCCCTGCGCCCCGGTGCGCGCCGCCCGCCCGGCCCCGGGGCGTGGAGGGAGGGCTTCGGTGACCCTGAGACGCCCCTCAAAGTGGCGGGCGGGACTGGCGCTGGCGAAGGGGCAATCGGAGGAGGGGACGGACGGGAACACCCACGGGGATCCTGGAGGCGATCCCGGGGTCCCTGTGGGTGTTAGGGGACAGGGCTTTGCGAAGCGGAATCGGAGCTGTTCAGCCCCGCGCAGCAACGTGCTTCGACCTCGGCGTTTTTGCAAAGGCGTTTGGGGCAGCGCGGCAGGTGCAGGCGAGACACTCCAAGGAAGAGCAGATGTGCTGCGCCCCTCACCCTCCCCCCCCTCCCCATCTTTCCCTCCCTATCCTCCCCTCCCCACCCTTAGGTACTGTCTCCAAGACACTTCCCTGTCAATGACCACAGAACTGCCCCTGGCTAACTCCAAGGCTGCCTCCAGTCGGCCAGGTGGAGACCAGAAGTTGGGCAGGAGCTGGCAGACAATCATGTAAAAGACACCTCCAGGGTGGTCTCAGATCTGTTCAACGGGGGCTGGATTCCTCTTCGGTTTTCCCACCTCTGCAGCCAGGTGAACTGTAGCCAATACATGCCCTAGACATTCTTTTCAGTCAGGTCACTTTCCCCACAAATTCTCCCACAGGCCTGCCATGGACATGGATGGGGCTTCTAAGGCGTGGAAGTGGCTGCCAAAGAAATAGTTTGCCTGAAAACATTAGGTAGTTTAGCCAGTGTTAAATTAATTATGTGTTGTGCTGGGTGTTAAAGATACAATAAGGAAGATAGGTGACTTTTTAACTTTCCAGGTATTTCTCCCTGCCCCACCACCCAAAGCTCCAGTAATCTCAATTGTTTTCAGAGTAATTTCCTCTGAATTATCCATACACAGCTCCTTACATTTGCATGAGGCATTGTTGTTTTATGCCTGCACTTTGTGCTGTTTTCTTAGCTTAATGTTTTCTCTTTCCAGTCTTTCTGTTGCTCTGTTAATAGCCTCTGCCTTTCAAATTCCAATTTTTTTATTACCATGAGTTACTTATTGGTTCCTTCTGATTCTAATTTAAAAGCCAACAACAATATATAATCCCCACTCAAAACAATGGAACCAGAAGACTGGATAGCAGCAGCAGATTTTGGTAACAAACCCATTTTGAACCATGTGACCACTAAATTCTCTGAGCCTAAAGGAGAGAATTCTGTTAGAGAATTCTGTCAAATGTAAAATTTGACCCCAAAGTTTACACTTAATTGCACACTTTATTATAATGCAAAAACAGAATGTAAACCATGTCTTGCCTTGGTGACCAATTTGCCTTACTAGAGCCAAGAGAGACATGAGATACCAGGTGGAATATGAAAACTACCAGGAATGAGTAAGAAAACTTTGAATGGTTCAGTTGTGCGGGGGGGAGAGGGAGTAAGCTCCAAAAGGTATTTAGCTATATAAATTATTATTACATGGAAGAGGGGTCATACTCTAAGGGTGAAGACCATCTAGGCCCCGCATCTGATAACCTAAAGATTTGAGATTGTATGGGGAGAGAAAGGGAGAAAGTAGAAAAAGAAAAATGGGGGGTAGGGGGGAGCACAAGATAATGCAGGGCCAAAACTTGGAAAAAATTTTTAAATAGAATCTTACATTCAGTTTTTCCTATAGGTATGAAATGTGGATCTTATAGTTCAAGGCAGGACTTTGGAAATCAAGAGGAACTAATGAAACAGTAGCATGAGACATGGAAGTTTAGGTAAGAATTTCTTACAAGTATGGTTGTAGAGACTCTGAGGTCTTTTAAAAATCAAGGCATTTGGGGGAGGTGGGAGGGATGACCTAAATATGAGCTGGCCCAATATAACACCAGCAAGTCTCTAAAAATATAATTTGTGATGATGCATCATTAGTGCATTGGTGGCAACGGAAGGTCAGAACTTCTGTTAAGTTTCATTAGCCTTAACTCCCCTGAAGTTACCGGTAAATCTGAAAATCAGAGTAGTTTTAACATGGAGGGAGAAAGAGGGAAGGTGAGAGAAATCGGATATATGGGGCCATCTGGGAGGTCATGTGTCCCAGGCTCAGAGATAGCTTAACAGCATGAAGGGACAGTAATTTCCAATAACTCTCCCAAGCCCTCACATCTCCAAACCTGCTTGTAGGAAGTGGTTTTTCTTTAAAATCAATACTTAAAAGAGACCTTACTATTCCCATTGGGTGGTAGAGATGGGAGTTTGCTAAGAGGGGAATGGCTGAGAATCAGAAAGCCTGCTTTAGACCTCCGTGCTTAAATTGCCTTTAGAAGACAAAGAAAAGACTGGCGAGTGACTCAGATTCAAATGCTGTGATTCAAAGAGCTTTTCTACTTGAGTCATGCCCAAGGAGAGCCTTATTCTTGTACTGGGTTTGGAATTGCCTCTGGGCTCGTGCTTAGAATCACTATGCCAAGTAGCAAACTTAAAATGTCTCCTCTTTTCAAGAGCAACTGGGAACAGGTCAGTGTTGGTGTGTTCCCAATCTAAAGTGACCCCTCCTGAGGTGAGGAATCAGTCAGGGATAAACTAAACCCTCCGGACCAAAGGCCCTACTTCACACCTTTATCCTGCCCTGCACCACGGCAGATTTCCAGAATGAAGCAGCATTTCCCAAGACTTGAAATCAGAGATAAGCAGCACACCTGTAAACGTTTCAGTTGTCACCAATGAAGGCAGATTGTTCTACATCTCCCAAATTCCTCCGTTGCCCATCTCCAACTTTGTCCTTGGCAACCGGAAACCACAGAAGTAAAACTGCCCCTACCTTTACTCTAGAACTTTCTCTGGTGTCAGGCAGACTTGAGGAGTTCAGACAGCTATGCATCTGGACAACTAATGACATTCATCAAATATGATGTGACCAGGAAAATTGGGGAGGAAGAAATAATCAAACTAGCCTGATTCATGCTAAGAAGTTACTATTGATAGAAAACTATTTTGAAACTATAACATGATTCATATGTGCTACATAACTAGTAGAAGTTAGTGTCATTGACAGCATCAAATTAGAAACACTGAACACTCAACTCTCAAACTTCACTCTTAATGTTTTTCTCTCACTGCCACAAAGAGTCAGTAGTGAGACTCATTCTTTCCCCTTACTGTGTCTTAGTGCATGTTAGTATTATAAAAGAGAAAACAATGGAAACTTGGACTGCGTGACACTACTAAAAAGGTTCTGGATGAATTAAAGGACTAAATGTTTTTATCCCAAACTTATCTGGGAAGTGTGAAAGCCATGGAGGGCAAGAGACTGCAGATCCAGACCTTGCGGCATCTCTAGGTTACTGTGAGAGCACAGGACTCTCGGGGCTCCATTTTCTCCTCTAGAATCATTGCAAGGGAGAGGGCACATCAGATGAATTGTAAGGTCTCCTTCTATAGTAAAATTCTATTCTCTTCTATAAAGACTATTCCAGAGTGACTTTGCAAAAAATTACAAAACCCAGTACTTGAAAAAAAAAAATGAGGCAAAACGTAACAAGAAATATTAGACTCCAGTGGTGCAGAATTTTTATTTAAAATTGAAAATCCCTTCTACTCTGGCCAATATGCCCAGTGGTTAGAGTGTGGGCTGACAGACTGATGGGTCATGGATTCCATTCCCAGTCAAGGGCACAAGTGTCCAACCAACTCTTCAGTGCCCCCCCCCCTTCTCTCTTTCTCTCTCTCTTTCTTTCTCTCTCTCTCTCTCTCTCCCTCCCTCCTTTCCACTCTCTCTAAAAATCAATGAAAAAAATATTCTCAAGTGAGGATTAACAACAACAACAACAACAACAACAAAGAAAATCCCTTCTGAAATCCAACTGTTATATTTTATCAGGCAATGGGTACTTAATTCTCAGGTGAGTCCTTGCTATGACCTTGGGAAATGGAGAAAGAGATGATTTCTAAAATCTTTTCATTGATTTCTGGTGCTATCACAAGGTCAATATCAGATCCCATTCCAGAATACAAAGATTCCAATAATGAAGCTCTTTTCACTTGCCAAGGGTTTCCTTCTGCCCCTCTCCCACTTTAGTTTTCTTTTTACAGCTTTTCAGAAACACCTCTTAGTTAATCAGTCACTAGGTTAGCAGCGGCAATCAGACTCAGCGTGAGTGTTCAAGGTCCCTGCAAAGCAAGATCCGATATCCGATACAAGGCTCTGATTTCATCGCACCTCAGTCTATATCCCTTTGCAAAGAGATGTTAGCTCCACACATGAAAAGAAATAGGAAATAGGAGTATCAGTCATTCTCCTTCTTTCCCTTTTCCTCTGCTTTGAATGGATTCTGTGTAAGAGGAACCCCTTTTATAAATTCTTTTCACTTTTCCAGAAACCAGCTAAGAGCATAAGTTGTTTCTCATAAGGCTGATCATCTCCACAGCCTATGCTAGAAAAGCCATCTCTCTGTTAACCTTGTAAGACCTTGATTATTTCAGAACAATGCTGTCTGAAGGTAAGTAGTGACCTCTGGTGAATAAAATATGATGAAAATAGGGTCATCACTTCAGTATCATTTTTAAGTCTATAATGGAACAATATTATATTAAAGTTTT